GTGTCCAATTATCGTCCCATCCCATTACTGTCTGTAATTTCGAAAATTTTTGAGAGAATAATTTGTAGTACAATATATAATTTTTTTGAAAAATACAACATTTTTAATAGATATCAGCATGGTTTCCGAAAAAAACTTTCTACCATATCCGCTGTATTTGACATCATCTTAGAAATTCATAATGCTCTAAATGAGGGAAGATATGCGGTAGCTATTTTTATGGACATGTCCAAAGCATACGATCGCGTTTTGCATGGTCCCTTGCTAGAAAAGCTATATTCTCTAGGAATACGAGGGAAACCGCACGAATGGCTCTCTACTTATCTTGCGAATAGAAAACAGTACGTACAGATATCCCATTTAAATGAAATAGAAGAATAATAAATGAAATAAACTCGTACACTACCATAGTAAAAGGATCTATACCGCAGGGTAGCGTCCTAGGATGATTGCTGTTCTCTACGTATATTAACGAACTCCCTTCAGTAATACCACATAGAGTCGTTTTGTTTGCAGACCACGCGACAGTTATAATGTGAACAAAAAAAACTCACTAGTTTGCAGGAAAATATAGCTTACTGCCTTAGCAAAATTGTGGATGAATTGGACGTTTTGGGTTTATTGTTAAATTTTGAAAAGACAAAAATAATGCAGTTTCGCCCATATCAGAGACTAGAAGTCCCACTCGCTATATCTTACCAAGGTATAAATATAGAGGAAGTTCGCACATTTTCGCTCCTAGGGGTAACAATAGACTCAACTTTTTCATGGAAAAATCGTATAGAGAGCGTAGTAAGTAAGTTGAGCAGCTTTTGCTATGCCCTGCGCGAGCTGCGTAAAGACACAAACGAGCAGTGTGCGCTTACTGCGTAACACAGCCACGCCGCTGCCTGGATCAGATATAGCATCATATTCTGGGGCAATTCTACCGAGGTGCACGCGGTATCCGTGCTCCAAAAACGTTGCCTTAGAATAATTGCATTCGTAGCTCCAAGAGATTCATGTCGAAAGTTGTTCCCTAAATTCAATTGTGCATTTATATTTTTGAATTATGCCGCTTTGTTAGGAAAAGTCCTCATTATTTTCAACGAATAGACCCAATCGATATGGCGCACGTCACCGTGGTTATAACCTGGTTGCTCCTACCGCACATCTAACAATACTACATGGTAATATGGGTTTACAACCATTTACCAAATAATATAAAAGCCCTCCAGTGTCGTAAATTTGAAATAGTAGGTACTTAAGAAAATACTTATTGTAAAAAGCTATTATAACTTAAATGAATATTTTAATGACAAATTATAAATTTAAATTATTTTGACTAAATTTATTATTTCTATTTACTTAAATGACATTATTAATATTTTCATCAAAGTTTTAAATCTTATTTATATGAATTAAAATGACCAATAGTTAAGATGAAATATTTATTGACATTTCATTTTAAATAAATGTGTGTATTATTTGGTTTGATATTTAATAAATTAATTAATAATAATGTATAGATTATGTACCTTAAAAATTGTAATTAAATTTGATTTCATATTAATTAATAATTAAAATCCATCTTAATATGCTACGCCCGTACAGGGTTGCCACATGCTCTGTAGATATATTGTAACAACTTTATACTTTGTGACATACAATAAATGAATTATGAATTATTATGAATTATACACACACATTCATACATAGATATATACACAAATATATAAATTTGTATATTATAAGAAAATATAATATAATACAAGGTACATAAAGATACGTAATATACTGATAAAATTAATATACTATAATAGCGGTTATAAAGCAATTTTAGAAAATAATCTCGAACATTCTTCTTAAATGTTTATTTGCAGGCAGGTTGTCTTAATTTTTCAGACAGGTCATTTCATAGGCGCGCGGCTTGGACAGCAAAAGATGAAGATATGTAACTCGAACGGTGAAGGGGTATATAGAGAGCAAGAGTCTCTGATGAACGAAGCTGTCTGTCAGGAGTGTACCGCAGAAACTGAAACTTATGCTGCAGATAATTTGGATAGTGGTTATCGATTAAAATAGAAAAAACTGTGTTAAGTATCCTAATGCGTCTTCACTGACGAATCGGAAGCCATTTAAGTTGAATGTGGAATGAGGATAGGTACATGATCAAACTTGCGAAGACGAAAAATAAAACGGATACAGTTATTGACGAGAGGAATTAGCAATTCAAGAAAAATCTTATTGAGATCAGGAAAACATACATCAGCATAGTCAATAATAGGCAAAATAAGAGATTGCACCAGAGTTATCTTTACCTTGACTCGGAAGAAAGTGCCTGAGACGGTTCCAAGCACTGATCTTAGCAAAAACAAAACCACTGATATTCTGAATTCGGGTGGACCAACTTAAGGTTGTGTCAAAGCAGACACCCAGACTTTTAACGCTGTCAGAATACGGTATGATAGAATTATCAAACGTGACAGGTGGAACGCAATGAACGTCAAGCTTACACAATTGTTGAGCACTACCAATTATTTATTATAGCTTGGCATCGTAAACACGACTGCTGATCATGAATCCCGGGTCGGAACCCAGGAGTAGGTTAAAAAACAGTTATCACTCTCGGGTCGTTTTGGTTTGCCGTCCCATCTCTTCTACTGCGCTCTAATCCCTTAAAAAACAACGCCTTAGAAACAGAACGGCACAGAAAATTTTACGAAACTAAATTAAAATTCTTGAAATTTTTATTATTCTATATTTCGAAACACTTTTTCAGTCCACCACATACACCTTTCCTACGGCCTACTCAAACGATGCTAGCGCATTTTTACGAAGATGAAATCTATACCCTTTCTCATTTTCAGATTTTTTTTATGTTTTCGAGAATAAAAAGAAGTTAAACAGTTCCAAATCAGTGTGAGGGTGACCCAAAAGCTCAAGCGGTCAGCTGTCTCGTTTTTATTGCTGTGTGCGCGTTATCATATGTATGCAATACCAATTATTTATTACAGATTGGCATTTATTGGGGTTCACACTAATACCAAACTTACGAGACCAACTGTGGAGATTCGTTAAATTTATATCTGGCAATAGCGTCACATAAAGTTTATATGGAGAAGGAGTACAGAAAGCTAATATTTATTTAAAATATGTGTTAAAAATCCATAACTTACAAATAAAAAAATCATCGTTACAGCCCTTCACAAGTCCACTGCTGAACATAGGCCTCCCCCAAGGAATGCCACAAAGCACGGTCCTGAGCTACCTGCATCCATCGACTTCCTGCATGTCTTACCAGGTCGTCACTCCATCTAGTGGGGGTCGCCCAACATTTCGCTTACCGGCACGAGGCTGCTACTCGAGAACCTTTTTCCCCATCGGTTGTCGGTTCATCGAGCTATATGGCCGGCCCATTGCCACTTCAACTTACTAATCCGTCTGGCTATGTCGGTCACTCTTCTACTGCGGATACACTCATTTCTAAGTTTATCACGCAGAGAAACTCCGAACATAGTCCTCAGTATAGCTCGCAGAGCGGCCTTGACCGTCCTCATATGGCCAGCAGTGAAGGACCACATCTCAAATCTATAAGTCACCACAGGCGCTCTCACACACACGGTCCAATCTCATTTTCTAGTTTTGCGATATACCTGACGAGAAGATGTGTCGCATTGTCCGGTAACTCACTACGGTAACGGCGCGGCAGGGGGTGCTAAAAATCTCCGGTGGAGGTTCGGTTGCCACCTAAGACCTAAGACAACTTACAAGTACATTAAATAAAATGAAGTAAAACATACATTGTTTACGTTCGTACAGTTAATGACAAATATTATTATAGTATAAACACTATATTTTAGGCATAAAAGCAAAAAAACATTTATATTATATTTTGTATATTAGATATCTGTATTTTATAAACAAGCCTAAAAATTTAATGAATTACAGTCGAATTTTGACCGCTAGATAAAAATAAATATTAGTAAAACAAGTACACGTGTCTATCCAAATTAAAAAAATGAAATACAAAAATATAAAATTAGGTTTTGCGCTGGTGGTGTAGGAATCCATTATCACCATATTTCACCATCTCGTATATGTCCACCACCCAGACTGCTGACAGGAACAGCGTCAAAGGTCCCACAACATTTGGTACTGCAGTCGTCAATTCGATTATCAAGCTTTTTTATAGAATAAGGTAGACAAACGAACGCATAGTCCACGTGATGGTAAGTGGATGCTATGCTCCATAGATATCTACATCTATCATCGATTAAGAACCAGAATGCAGATGCGTTGTCACCACTAAGAACCAATATGGAATGCCTCAATACCAGTAAAAAGGGTCTCCTGTTAAATAAATTCACCACACGAAACACAGCAGCGTTATTAACTTCCTTCTGCGTAGCATTGAAAGGAAGTTAATGGTTTTAGCTTTACCTTGATGTAGTAGCTCGGTCGAGTTTGAATTTGGGTCCTGTAGGTCAAAGCGCACCAGAGATATGGGATTCACGCAATAGGAAGTTGTTTTTCTTGAATTTACATTCAACACGTTTTTATTTATTTGAAAATAGATTTAAAATTTAATTCAAAATAAATGGTAATTTTGCATTAAATATTAAATTTACGTGGTAGATTCATGCAGCAGCTATATCAATAATATAGTTGTGCACAAATGGGTCGGCTCGACCGGGGAAGGACCACGCTCTCACAGAATACCAGCGTAAAATAGCAGCTTAATGCTGCTGTGTTTTGAATGGAGTGTAGAGAACCGGATACCCTTTTTACTGGAAAAGAGGCATTCCATCTTAGCCCTCAAGGATTACAACGTATCTGAATTTTGCTTCGCAAATGAGGATAGATGTAGATGTCTATGGGCCACAGCGACCACTTACCATCAGGTGGACTGTGTGCTCGTTTGTCACGCTAATCCCATAAAAAATTTACAACATAACCATCGTGAGAAAAGTTATACGCATAAACTAGAGTTTGAAATCAAAACCTAATAATTTTCATCGATGTTTGTTGAACTGTCGGAGTTTACAAAACATGCGATCGATATTTCCGCAATCATTGATAAGGTATTAGTTGACATAAAAGAGTTTGTACCGAAATCACGTCATAATGGAATTACTTGAAACGGTTAGTGATTATTAAAGGGCTTTGTTTGTAACGCTAATATTACTTAATTAGTAAAAGACATAATAGAACATTGATAAAATTTTGTGACATATTTTTGAAATCACGGAGGGTTAGCACTTAAGCTTAGGCCATTAGGTTTTTTTTTGTATTATCAGATCATATTAAGATTTTTTAAAGGTGACAGTTATCTGAAAGTTTAGAAATCTAAATTGATGAAGTGGATGCACATGAAAGTTAATCGATTTTCATTTCCAGATAATATTCACACTTCAAATTGCGAATGTGATTACGAAAAGGCATGTTTCGTCGTCAGAGGAGAGTATTGAAAACCTGATTTACTACAAAGACTGCAACCACAAACACAAACAGGATGCTAAACCAGCAATACAGCCCCTATCCAAACCGCAACCACCACCGCCACCGCAAGAGTGCAAAATGTTCTGTAGTATGTGCTGCGGTGACGAATGTGTGCACAATCAGTATCCATCGATGATGAACAGGCAGTCACTAACGATGCCACAAAACATCATGTCCAAACCTCAACCATTGCAACAACCTGTTCCACAACCACCTTTGCACCAAAAGGGTAAAAAGAAGAAATTGCGAACAATTCCAGAACTGCAGCCGCCGATCGGCGGTAGAAGAAATGTTGAATTTACAAGGCAGCATATCAAAAGTCTAATATCCCAAGATCAAGATATTAGGAAAATCTTGAAGGACCTAGTAAGGGTGACAATGCAAAAAGTGGATTTGCTCGAGATGATTAATTCTAGAAGAAGTGTGAATGAGATAAAGTCAGAAGAAAACAAAAGTGAAGCAAATTCTCAAGAGTAGCACTACACTGATTAATTAATCATCTGTATTGTCTTTGTAAATAAAAACAATCTAATAAATATAAGTGTTGACAAGTGTGACATTGCTGTGAGTATAGCAATATTGTAATATAGTTGACATTAGGAGAAATTAATACGATTATATCATTGCTTGATTTCTAATTTAATTGATCTACAAAGATCTAAATCTTGGCGTACTCAGCAGAACGGGACAGTATTTCATGCCGGTACACCGCTTGTAACATTATAAGGCGCAGGTTCGGCCTCACATGGAATACTGTTCCCATCTCTGAGCAGGAGCTCCCCAGTGCCTGCTCATTCCACTTGACCGCATCCAGCGCAGAGCGGTTCGAATCGTCGACGACCTAGTTCTTTCCGATCGGCTTGACTCACTGGCACTGCGTTGAGATGTTGCATCTCTTTGCGTTTTTTATCGCATCTACCACGGTGAGTGCTCTGAGGAATTGTTTGGACTAATTCCAGCCGCTCAATTTCACCATCGCACATGGCTACAAAACTTACGATACCATCCATACCATCTGGATGATTGACGGTCCACCACTGTACAATTTAGAAGAAGTTTTCTCCCTCCCACAACTTTCTTGTGGAATCGATTACCATCAGCAACTTTTCTTGACCGATACGACTTAAAGATCTTCAAGAAAAAAGCCTACTTCTTTTTAAAAGGTCGGCAACGCATCTGCATTTCCCCTGGTTTGGCAGTTGTTCATGAGTGGCGGTAATCACTTACAATCAGGTGCGCCACATTCTCGTTTCCCCCCTCTCCTGTAAAAAAAATCTACAATAAGTCAGCTCTGAAAAGAGCTATTATATTATCAGCATGACTCATGATATTGTTCTACAAGAAGCTGTTTTACAAATTTATTAATACGCGCAGTTGTGTTTATTGTGGATTATTGCTTTTCTAATATTGAGGGGTCGTATTTTAAAAGTTTGGATTTTTTAAATTTTAAGTTCATACGAGGTGATTTCGTCACTTACAGACAAGAATAATTATTTAGGCTATGGCAAAGGCAGAAAGTTTCCTTTACTGTTATTTGATCAAATTTGCCATCAAATAATAATAAAGTTATCTATAAACATGTATAAAAACACACATTTAAGTATTTATGTAAAATGTCAATGTATTTAATACTTTTGACAAATTTTTCAGCCTTCTCTATGACGTCATCATTAGTTTGAAAAGCTATCAAACAACTGCTTAGAAATCAACGCTTATCAAAACTGATGTTTATAATATAAGGTTTATAATAATATTATGTAAAAAACAAAGATATGAAGATGAAACCAAAAAAGTTTACATAGCGAATTACTTTATCTAACTTTCTCGGAATATATTTAACAGCGTAGATTCTCACAGGACCCAAAGTATTAACAACAAAATGCAAATTGTGCAAAATTTACAGGAGATGATTTTGGTTGTACAGAATGTACTTATTTACGAACTTATGAAAAAGTTAAAACATTTCGTAATAAAGTATTTTATACAGAAATTTCGCCATTTAGTGGTGACTTAAGAGAAACCACTACCGTCAAACCGTGGCTGTCGTAAGGGACTACAGATAGAAATGTAACAGGAGGTGGACAGTAGTATCATTCTGATAACAACTTATGTTGATAAAAAACTGCGGTTGCCAACAAGCCTGCCAAACATGGAACTTATGGCAAATATCCACATAATGAAGAAATTTATAGGCACAAAATAACTACTTATTACTGCTACGTTGCGTGCGTACATCATATTTGTGAATAGGTACTGCTTGTGCAAGCTTGCAACGCATTTATTACCTGTTTTAAAAGTTAGTAGATTAAAAAAAACACGTTAACGGTAACATTCTAAAGACGAAATTTTGATTTCTTACGTCGAGAAATAAACGAGTTTTCATTTCATTTATTTCGTATGGTGCCGAGATCTGCAGTATACCAAACAATACATTCTTTCTCCATTGAAGATAGATGAGGTAAACTGTGTGCTCGTTTGTCAGCTTTATTTTTTGAACTTTTTCTATAAACTTCGTTATCACTGTCAAGTAATTGGTAATTCCAATATTGGTTTAATTTTTAAGACTTTTACTATATGTGGAACATTCGCTGGATTTTTCTATATACTATTTAAAAGATTTTGCAGAAACTGTACGTGGTTGAGCCATGCTGCAACTATATTAGTAGTATAGTTGTAGCACAAATGGATCGTCTCGAACGGGGAAGAAACACGCTCTCACAGAACACGTATGGTACTCACCAGAAGCAGAGAAGCAGGAGACTCTTTTTACTGGAAACTAGGCATTACATTTTAGTCCTCACGGGTGACAAAGCATTTTGATTCATAATTGGGATAGATGTAGATGTCTATGGGCCACAGTATCCATTTACCATCAGGCGGATTGTGTGCTCGTTTGTCACCCTTATCCTATAAAAAAAATTATCATCAGCTGATCATAAAGGGTCCGAAATAATAATGGCAAGGCTGTCACAAAAATTGTCGCTCCTAATTCAGACTGATCACAAGTTGTATTCTTGTTACCTCGTATGGTGGTGGCAAAAGAGAATCCATCACTACATTGTCAGAAAAAAATCATGGCTTTCGATTGATGGAGGTCTAATCATATTTTTATGCCTGGCGTAAAATAACTAGACCGGCGATGGTTAGCTGTATTAAAATGCGAGACGTCCGGTATTGCGATGGTCAATCCACCTGCCAAACGTGACGATTAAGTAAAGTTATCAACAGTGGACATTGACGGGTTGATGATAATGAAGAAGACTGTCATATGGTAGCCACGCAGGAAAATACATTTGAAGTTTTTGATGAAAAAGAAAATGCCGGAAGATATACCATCATGAATAAGATAGATGTAAAAGTAAAATTGAAAATCTGGCGATAGAGAGGAACGTCAAAGGATTTTTAATACAAGTAAGGGTGATGAGCACACAGTCCACCTGATGGTTAGTGGATGATTAGGCCGAAATACGTGTATAATATTTGTTCTGTCTACGATTCAGAATCAAGATTCCGATATGTTGTCACCCCTGAGATCGAAAAGGTTCCGATTCTCATTACTCACCATACTAGGTGGTAGTCATCACATTTACGTTTTTTAAATAAAGGATAAGGGTGACAAACGAGCACACAGTCCATCTGGTGATAAGTGATTGCTGTGGCCCATAGACATCTACATCCTCGATTACGAAATAAAATGCAGATGCGTTGTCAACCGTGAGGACTAAGATGGAATGTCTCGTTTATGTCAAAGTCAATTAAATAAGCATTATTACGGATAACTCAAAAACTAATGGTAAGATCTTGATATAATTTATATGGGACCACATGAGAAGCACCAGATTTCAAATAACAAAAGAATCATCGAAATCGGCAAAACCAGAAAAAAGTTATGAGGTAAAAAAAAACATACAGTCGAATTGAGTACCTCTTTATTGAAGTCTGTAGAAAATTTTATACAATCAACTTCAATATAAATAAAATCCGAATATCAGCAATGTCTCTATCATATATCATGTATCATCAGTGGATGTTTGTCCTTGTGGTATTTATGTTTGTAAACTGCCTCCACGATATAGGAGAAAATCCTAGTGTAGGGGAAACGTTTTTTTTTTTAAGAAAAAAAGACAAGAAATGTAGTCAAAGTCAATTAAATACGCATTATTACGGATAACTTAAAAACTACTGGTAAGATATTGATATGATTTATGTGGGACCACATGATAAGCACCACATTTCAAATAAAAAAAGAATCATCAAAGTCAGTTCACCTAAAAAAAGTTCTGAGGTAACATACATAAAAAATGCAGTGGAATTCAGAACCTCTTTCTTATTTTCAAGACAGTTGAAACAACAGCAGTATTATGCTGTTATTTCAGGATAGTATTATGTGCAAGCGTGCTTACCTCCCCGTTCAATGCAACTCATTCGTTCTTAAGCCATGATATGCTAAATCGTGACTCTACCACGTTTATCTTAAAATTACTTTTATGAATATTTCTTTTGTATTTAAATTTATTTTTTTGTTATAGAAGAGGGGGCAAACGAGCATGCGGCTCACCTGATGGAAAGTGACTACCGTCGCCCATGAACAACTGCAACACCAGTGGAATTGCATCTGCAAACGCCCTTGCGTTGCCGGCCTTTTAAAAAGGAGTAGGCTCTTTTCTTGAAGGTCCCTAAGTCGTATCGGTCCGGAAAACTCGCTGGTGGTAATCAATTCCACAAGGCAGTTGTGCGAGGGAGAAAACTTCTTCTAAATCGCACAGTGAAGGACTGCCAATCATCCAGATGGTATGGATGGTAACACGAGTTTTGTCGCGATGTGCGATGGTGAAATTGAGCGGCTGGAATTAGTTCGAACAATTCCTCAGAGCACTCCCCGTGATAGATGCGATAAAATACGCAAAGATATGCAACATCTCTACGCAGTGACAGTGTATCGGGCCGATCAGAAAGAACTCGGTTGTCGACGATTCGAACCGCTCTGCGCTGGATACGGTCAAGTGGAAGGAGCTGGCACTGGGGTGCCCCGGCCCAGAGATGAGAACAATATTCCATGTGAGGCCGAACTTGTGCATTATAAAGTTGCAAGCGATGTGCCGGCATGAAATACTGTCTCGTTCTGCTGAGCACGCCAAGCTTTTTAGAGGCCAATTTGGCCTTCCTTTCCAAGTGACCACGAAACTGCACACTATTTGATATGTCGACGCCAAGGATTCCGATGCTAGCTGAGGCAGCAAGGGGAGTGCCTTGAAACTGAGGAGATACGACAAAGGAGTTCTTTTTAGCGGTAAACGCGCAAACTTGTGTCTTCTGGGGATCGAACTGGACTAGATTTAGTCGCCCCCAATCCGCGACTTTGTTAAGCAAAGACTCGACTTCAGACACAAGTTTGTCCCGGTACTCGGCGACGTTTTCCCGAGAAATATTGGCACGGCAGTTATATAAGGCATCACCAGTGCTGTCGTCTGCATAGC